AGAATATTCAAACCATCGCAAATGGCTGCAGCCCAAGAAGGAAATTTAACAATGCTCGTTGAGTTGTTTGTTTAAGGCAACAATAACAATCCGAAGGTCCTAGTCACCGTACTAGAGGAAGGTCTTGTCTGATAGGTCACACGTAGTCAACCAAATTGGTCGAACAGGCTCACTTACTGCACATAAACGAAGAAAGGGTATCTTGTAGTTGTCTGCTAATTGTCCAAGACATGCTGGTACGGAAGACTGGCCCTGGTGTGTGTGTGCGTGTCTGTGAAGGACCGGTGTCCTGTCCGGCCTGCTCCATGCCTGGGGCCTGTTACCTGCAGGGACAGGCTCCAGCTCCGCTGCCACTCTGCTGGAAGACATGGTTAGGAAATGGCTAACTGGGTAACTGCTGTCTTGTCCTGTATGTCAGAGGCTACTCGACTGTGAATGCAGGAGTAAGACAGCGTGTGTATATTTCCAGTGTGTTGAGGGGAGGGTGTGCGTTTCTCAGTGCGAGCTGCAGTAATAAGGTACTGCACCTTTCTACCCACCTGCTGCAGAGGGCCTGGTAATCTAATAGACCTACTCCTGCCTGGATCTCTTCCACGCCTGATGGATTTTTATGTGGTGAAACAGACCCGCGCAATGTCCAGCAATTGACTTTGGTCCATATACCCATCACCACACAGGAAACAAACCTGCTCTCTCGATGTCTAGTTAGAACCACAATGATCGAAATTAAACAGCCGTAGTTCAACCTGTTTGAAAATCCTTCAGTACAATTATTCGGTAAAAGTTCAGCGTAGCAGAAAAGGACCGTTAATTTTTTTTTGTGAGCATTTAATAATCAAAATCTTTACCGCATTTCACAGTTTGTTCAAAGGGTTCTCTCTTTTTTTTATGGTGAACGTGTCTGAATAGCCCATGCAATCGTGCGAAAGAAATTGAAAACAAACTTAAAAAAATAGTTTTATTTTTAAAACAATTATTGCCGATGGCACTGGCTATTCAGACACGTTCATTGTATAAAAAAAGAGAACCCTTTGAACAAATTGTAAAATAGAATTCACTAGGGCTTCGAAATAAGGCAAACTTCTCATATTTCCCCAACTATCAATGCACTAGAGACACGTTTATCTCTGCTACAGCATCAGAACTTATCTCAAAGCTAATACAACGGGCTCCAAACCAGATCAATATCTGATTCTCGGGGTCGTCTAAGTTTATGGGTTTACTGTCACCGGTTAACTGTAACGTCAGTGAGCTGACGTTGTGTGTGTTGTGTTTTTTTTATTATTTTAAGGAGAGAAAAAAAAATTACGGCTACTACTACTAGGCCCGTCCCTCGTAGAATAACAACTAATTTAATGTTTTTGACAGCCCAGACCGCTGGCAGCCCCATTAGCCGTCGGTTTGGGGCTCCCGCGGTGCCGGCCCGTCCGTGCGGGGGTCGGGGAGGAGGGAGCGGGGTGGGCCGGCCCACAGCGCGCACGCCGACGCTTTAAACAGGAGTGGCGTACCGCCGTCCTGCTGTAGCCATTTCCCCGAAGATGGCGGCGTGTAGACGTGTTCAGCTGCTCCTACTGCTGATGCCCGCCTTGCTGGCTCTGTCCGCCTCCCGGGACGCCCGGCAGGGGGGCAATCCGATGGTCGTCCCCGGCGGCGGCGTCCCCCTGGGCGGCCAGAACCCCGGCGGGCCGCCGAACCCGGGCGGTGTGGGCCTCGGAGCCCCGGCCGCGCAGCCCCGCCGGGCGACCGGCTGGAAGCTGGCCGAGGAGGAGGCCTGCCGGGAGGACCTGACCCGGCTCTGCCCCAAGCACACCTGGAGCAACAACCTGGCCGTGCTGGAGTGCCTGCAGGACCGCAAGGAGGTGAGGCGGCGGCGGCGGAGGCGGGGGGATCTGCGGGCCGGTAGGCAGGGTGTTGCCTGCAGGGAGATGGGGGGGACTGGGTTGCTGGTGTGGATGCGACAGGGACGGCTCTGGAGCAGCGGGGCGCCGTCCCTCACAGGCGGACACGCACACCACCCCCGCCGGGGACTGCAGGACCCGCCGTGCGGTACGAGGCCCCCGCTGGAGAGAGACACCACAGCCCTGCGTGTTAAGGGGGCTGCTGCATGCGTGTCTTTGTCACGGTGGTGTGGTCAGTGTGGGGGAGACCCGTGGGTTTGTCACCGTGGGAGACGGGTCCTTGCACGACCAGTGACCAATATCAACTGATACTCACGAGTTGCACCGGCAGCAAGGTGCCGTGTTCATAATGAACGAGCAGCTCAATGGCCAGCAGTTCAAGACGCCCAGTTTGTGAGTCTTTTAAATGGCATTGCTGAGCTTCTCTCTCAGCACTGAGGCGTGCTGTTACAGGGAGGCTGAATTTCAGAGATTGCTCGTCCACGATAGTATACGTGTCTTCCCTGGACGAAGGTTTGCAGGATTGTACAGCGCCTGTTAGAGGAGTTGTTGCATTTCCCTGCCAGAGAGGAACATAACCTGAGCCGGGTCTGAGTCTCTTGCCTCCTTTTGTGTATTTGTGTGATTGTAACCGCCGTGAGGTACCTGGGTTTTCTGCAGTGCTGTAACCTAGCTGGGGTGGTGAAGTTGGAGACGGTGTTTCGTCACGCTGTTGAACGGGGCTACTCCTGGAAGAAAGTAAAAAAAAATAACTTCAATAAGAAGTTCAGACTAAAGGGAGGAGGGGCATCAAACGTCTAAGTTATCTATGCACTTGAAATCCTTTTTGAGAGGGAAAGGAGTATGCAAAGACTGACATTAAAGCCTTTTTCACTTTTACTCATGAAACTTGCTTGGCGTTTTCCTCGCAAGAAAGCGCTTCAGCGGTGTTTCTAGGGCACGGCGTTGAGCTTCTGTGTTGGGGGAACTGACCGCAGCGATGCATAGGTTGCGTGCCACATTTCGCGAGTGGGGCATGACGTGTCATTTAGTTGTCGTCCCACGGCGCCGCCGCGGGTGGGGTTTTTTTTTTACTGTCCACGGCCCAAGCGTGTTCACTTTGCGAAAAGCCTCGAGTTTAAGGGAGGGGGGGAACCGTGAAACGGTGAAAAGCAAGCAACGGGCTTGAACAGGATTTCGGGTTTTTTTCCCCCAACATCTGGCAACTCGAATGGCATTCAACGGCAAACTTCTGCAGTAAATTACCTTACAGCTTAGTTTCGCCGACTGACGCAGCTTGCAACGACCGTAAACTCAGGGTGAGGTGTGCAGTTGACAAAGCACGACACGGCCAGCCGCCTCGGCTCATAGGGACCCTGCCTCCCTCAAGTCGTCGTTGTGAACCGCAGGGAGAGGAAATCCTGTTTCGTCTCTCCTCCGGGTTACCAAGGTAATGGCTGGTGACTAGCGCCTCGGAGACAGCGCGCCAGCCAGCACAGGGCCCGAAAATGCCATTTATATCTATATATATAAAAACACAGTTTGGCAATAGACCAAGGCAGCGGTCCCAAGAAATATTTTGCCCCCGCTATTTTTTTTTTCCTGCGAGACGTGTACGAGGCGTCACGCGTTCAGGGCAGTAAAAAAAAAAAACCCCACAAAAAGTCGCCTTGAAAGCTTTTGCGTCTTCTGTTTAAAACAAAAGCGCCGACTTCGGCGGAGCAGGCCGTGTAAACGGTTCTCCTTGTGGTGTTTTTAAACCAGGGTGTATGTTGCGTTTTGGGACAAGTTGCTAACCTTGTTGTTTTTTGGTTGTATGCGGTGTAGAAATGCTTCCTCGTTGTCTCTCTCCCTCTGAAGATTCAGCTGCTTGTAAAAGAGCGTTTGACCGTCACACGCGTGATGAAGTGACTTGTTAAGAAATAAAATACATTGTCCCTACACTGGCTACGTAGTGGTTACAATATCGCCATCTGCTTTTAAAAGTACATGTGGAAGGAAGATTGGCACTCTCATTTTGACAGTGATAAGGATACAATCAAGAGGCTTTATAAACTTGTAAAGCAGTGTGATTGAGTAGTATAGCTGTTCAGCACCAATCAGCAGAAATGCTGCAACATTATTCTGCCTGTTCTGGGCTTTTTACACTTACATTACCATCAACACGCCTGGTGCGTGCTGATTAAACCCTGTTCTGACTCCCGTAACATTCGCCCTGAAGCACTGCAAAGGAATGGCAAAGATTAGGTTCTGAAGCTAATTTCTGTTTTGACATGGAAGGATCAGACCGGTGCTGTTGTAAAACAGGGATGTACACTGTGCTGCAGGAGAGCAGAGCTTGCTGTGAGGTGGCTCTGTGTATCATTAGGAAATGAGCGTATTCTTCTGCATTTTCATTCATTTTAAGGTAAAGCCTTAAGTTATGGTTTTAAATAACGACCAGGTTTCTGCTCCATTGTCTGTAACGGTCGGATGCAGTCTTCTTATTCTTTTGTTCTGCATCGAGCAGAAAGGCGGTGGTCTGTTCTTGGAAAGGGAATGAAGCCAATACATTCTGTGCCTCGTTCCATTCTGCCCAGGTTGTTGGCCTCTTGGACTCTTCTGGAGCTGGTGACTCTAGGGGGGTATTGGGAAGAGGGGCGGTAGATATTCCATTGAAATAACACGGTGGTCTGTCACAATGGCTCGCTCTCCTCTTCCTCGTTGTCCACCCTGTCCTTTGTCAGTAGAACAAAATGGCTCTTTCAAGAATGAGACTGCAAGGAGTGTGTGAGTGGTTATCGGCATTGGGGTGCACATTCAGCAAAGACAAAGGTCTTCTCCTGATGGACGCTGTCAGTGTGGAAGTGGGTCTTGAATTTGTTCTGGGTCTTGAAAATTGGTTTTCACGATGCCTGATGGTTTCTTTTGGTCATTTAGAGGCTGTTAATAACTCCCAACCCTTAGCTGTGTTTATGCTCCTGCGCTGTGACATTAAATGGGACCAATTTGAGGTTAATTGATATCATTAACCAGAATGTTCCTACTATGGAGGACCCTGCTCTTAACCCTGCCATTAAGTTGTCGGGTTGCTGGGTAGCTTTTTTAAGTACAGTTGTGAACACTATTGTTCACAAAAAAACAAAACAAATCAATCATTGATTGTTTTAATTTTGGGGGCTCTAAAGTGTACCTCTTGAAAATGTTTAAGATTTGCATCTCCATTGCTTTTCATACTTAACCGTAATCCGAGACCGTTTCCGAACAGTAATGCCGCTTCTGTTGAATAAGGAGGGTTTTCAGCATAAAGTGTCTAAATGTATGCAAATTGGGTGAAATGATTTGACTAGATCATGTCAAAACTGCCTCTGTTCTTCTGGGAGTCTGCTTGTGCTGTGTAGTAGCTTCCTTGTTTGCTGGATGGCAAGTGGTTTGGATTTAGCTTTCTGGCCCAGTAGGTGCTGGAATCTGCCTAATTTAACTGCTCTAGTTTAAAATTAAAAATCTTTTTCGGAATCTTTTTTTTTTTATTATTGAGGTGTACCAGTTCCGTGTCGAGCTAAGCGTTTTGGCTCAGTTCTTCACGCAGACTTGGTGTTCAGCCTGTTTGTGCTGTCTGTTCTTGAACAGCTGCTGCAGGGCTGCTCTCAACTGAGAGATTTGGGCTGTTCCAGTTCTCGTGCTGTTGACCTGGAGAGAACAGGTTGGAACTCTTCCTTCAAGGAGAAGAGCACAGCATAAGGGACGCCTTTTGTAATGATATCACTTATGCAGAGCTTTATAAGTATTCGCCTCTCCCAGAAATGTGCTGCTTTTACACCTCCTGCAATGGCTAATCTCCTTTCGTGTCTTCCGAAACTCTTGTGGTTTTCACACTTGATGGATATCGGTATGCCTTGGTGGAAACCAGACTTAGTCATCCGAGTGTGCAAAAACATC